CAAATCCCAAGTGAAGAAGATTATTTCAAAACCCGCTCAAATATCACGTCCCAGAAACAAATTATGAAGTTAAATCTTCAATGAAATTATCAGAATTATCGTTAAAAACATTTCATGTAAATCCTTGAAAATTATGTCAAATCCAAAATTAGATGACAATATGAAATTTTTCAATTTAATTCAAACAACTGTTTCAAAATGAAAAGTTTGGGAAATAGTTGATAGTTTTTCTATGTGTGTGTGTGTGGTTGAGGAGAACTATTCAAAAGTAATAGAACATTTGAAGAATAGATTCGGACGTGAGAAAATTTTTATTCAAGAGTATACGTCAGGGATCTTTTGTTCCTAGCACTAAGAAATAGCAGGAGAAGAAAAGAGTTTAACTTATTGTAGTACGATAGTTTAGAAACAAAATTTCATTTCCTAGAATTCCTTTGGGTGAACGAAGATAAATATGAAAGAAGTTTGTTTCTTCGATATTCTGAAAAGTTGGAAAAGAGTTCGGGCGGGGGGAGAGCGAACTACAGGTAAGACGGAATACTTTTCTCTTCTTGGATGTTTAAATATGAGTTATTATCAATTACTTAATTTAAAGGTCTTCATTCTAATAAAATATTGGGTTGTTCGGAAAGTAATTTCGTTTTTTCCCGACAGAGGATTTAATTGTATTTTTTGTACCCAACTTCACATTTAAGCCGCATAATTTTTATATGCTTTGAGAGCTCATTGTACAGGCTTGTGTGTGAAAAATTCCAATTAATTCTACGCAGTAGTTTTTGGTTGGTGCCCTTTTAAATATGGAAAGCGATAAGCAGCATTTTCGACATATCTTACTGTTTTACTACAGAAAGGGTAAAAATGCTGTTCAAGCCAGAAATAAATTGACCGATGTGTATGGAGAAGATGTGTTGACAGTACGCCAGTGCCCAAACTGGTTCGCTAAATTTCGATCCAGCAATTTTGATGTCGAAGATGCACCACGTTCGGGAAGGCCGGTTGAAGCTGATAAAAACGCGATAAATGCATTAGTTGATGCGAACCGGCGAATACCAACACGTGAGATCGGATTGAGGTTAAATTTATCAAATTCAACAATTTATGACCACTTGAAAGGCCTGGGATTATCCTCTAAGCTCGATGTAGGGGTTCCCCATGTTCTCACAGAGAGAAATCTGTCTCGCCGCATTGACGTCTGCGATTCGCTTCTCAAACGTCACGAAAATTATCCGTTTTTGAAGCACATCATCACTGGGGACGAAAAAGGTCAAGGTGCAAAAAAGATGAACCGGCTCAAATCATTTCCAAAGCCGATATTCACCAAAAAAAGGTGAGGCTGTCTGTTTGGTGGGATTTTAAAGGAATTGTTTTTTTTTAGCTTTTACCGGATAACACAACGATTAATTCGGAAGTCTACTGTCATCAGCTGGACAAACTGAATGATGCACTTTAACAGAAAAGGTCAGAACTAATCAACAGGAAAGGTGTAGTGTTTCACCAAGACAACGCGAGACCTCACACAAGTTTGGTCACTCACCAAAAGCCTTACAGCTTGAATGGGATACAATGCCACACCTACCATATTCTCCAGACCTGCCACCATCGGATTATTATTTGTTCCGGTTATTCCAAAATTTTTTTAGACTGTAAAACCTTCACCTCAAATGAGGAGGTCAAAAACCACCTCGATGAGTTTTTTGCCAGCAAAGACCAAACATTTTATGAGCGTGGAATTATGCTACTACCAGAAAGATGTCAAAAGGTGTTGGACCAGAACGGCCAATATAAATTTAATAAAGTATTTGTTTATTATACGAAAACTGTCTTTCATTTCCACACAAAAAAATGAAATTACTTTCCGAATAACCCAATACTTTAAATAATACTAATCAGACAATAAAAATGAATAATAACCAAATGAATTGCATCTAATAGTTTAAAACTCTTAAGGTATTCGACAACGTTCGGAACCACAATTTTACAAAAGCGTACAAACGAATATTTTTTTAACATTTAGGGCCACTTAAATTAGCATACACGTATAAAACTGTTTTAAAACTATTTTTACATTAAAAAAATTATTTAAGTGCAACATTTTGACAAAAAATGAACATAGAATGACCTATTTTCAAAACATTTTTCTTTTATGGAAAATGTTTCTATAACTATAATATTTTGCCTATATATAGGGCAGACCTATTTACAGAGCCTGAACTAGGATTTCTGAACTCTATAACTTCGAAGTAGATTTATCAAAATTTTAGTATATCAGAAATTTTATCGAAAAAACACCGGTAATTATTTCAATTGGTAATAATTCTAAAAGTAATGTGAATCTTCCAAAACTCCTAGTTCAGGCTCTATGGAGAAGTCTTATGTATAAGCAAAATATTATTATTAAAGAAGCATTTCTCATTAAAGGAGAATGTTTTGAAAAAGGTAATTCTAAGCTCATTTTTTTCCAAAATATTGCATTTAAATAATTTTTAATTGTAATAATATTTTTAGAACACAATTTTATTCGCATTTCCTAATCTAAAATTGACACTAAATATTAAAAGAAATATTCGCTTATACGCTTTTGCAAAATAATAGTTTCGAACGTAGTTGGATACCTTAAATATTATTTAATATTTTATATTTTAATACATAAAAAAATTATTTTATATTTCAAAGCAGCGTTTCTCAAACTGTGGGACGCCCCCTGCTAAGGAGGCTGATAACTTTATGAGGGGGGGGACAAGCATATTGAAAACTCTAAAGGAAAAGGTTACTAAAAAATTAATTTGCTGAAAGTAAACAATTAAAATACATTCTGACATAACAAAAAAATAAAATATACATTTACACTGATATAATACACTTATAAATATATCAGTACTACATACATTGTTTTTTATAATTTATTTAACACTATTAAATTGGGAACAACATGAATAATCACCAATGACCCCATTACGTGTGCTGTATAAAATTATATACTAAAATTAACATTTATCTTGATAATTTGTACGGTTTATAACTACCCCCTTCACTGCCGAATTAAAGTTACGCTCTCCCCATTGCTATTGTTTTCCACGTAGGCGCGTGAATGGAATGGAATGGGAGGTGACAGAAAAGAGAATAAAAATATCTAATCCTCTGATATATATATATATATATATATATATATATATATATATTTAAATATACAAATGCAATCATCAACAATCAATATATATATATATAAATATATATATATATAATATATATATATACATATATTTAAATATACAAATGCAATCAAAAATAAAATAATCAAGTGAAAAATTGAAATATACGAATCTTATAATACCAAATCCTATTTCAAAATATCAATGGCGAATATAAAAGATAAAATTCCATCGTTTTCAAACAAAATTAAAAAAATTATAAAATAGAATAAAAATTTATAAAATATCCAAGTGCAGCCTCGGACTGATGGGATTAAACTAGTTTGATGGCACCAACCTTCCCCCTATTGCAACTTGGTAAGTTTGAATCGAAAATATCCAAATTTCAGAAAATGTAAAAGTTTAAAAATTAAAAAGTTAAAATTAAATCATTATACTGGAAAAATTAAACTATTCGCCATCGCATTCCGAAATACATTATGATGTTAAAATATTAAAATTCAAAAACAATTTAGTGCATAATATAAGTGAACCATCGAACACCTAAGATGATGCACACATCTTTAAAATAGTTGTAAAGGTAGAATAATCAATTGAAAAATTGAAATATACGAATCTTATAATACCAAATCCTATTCCCTTACCAAATCCTTTATATATATATATATATATATATATATATATATATATATATATATATATATATATATATATATATATATATATATATATATATATATATATATATATATATATATATATATATATATAAGTCCTTTGTAAGCACTGTCAAGGTCCTTTTATTGCATTCCAAAGCCTTTGGAATAATTTTATTATGGATCCCAATGCACAGAAAACACCGTACTTCGGAAACACGTTTATATACATCTGGGGCAATTAATGCTTTGGCTAATCGAAACGTTTATATACGCCTGTGACACTTAACAGATTAAAATTGTATTTTAGATTTAGCGTCAAAGTGTGTTATTGAAAAAAACACATTGTTATTATATGGATGATTATGATTAAATACTGCGCGATGAAAATTATGATTGAATATTGGGTCGTAAATATTGAAACTTTGAGAAGCACTGCTTTAAAGAATTAAATGTGGTACCCGGAATAAGTGACTTTTGTGATAAATTATAAGCTTATTTTCCAACAGGTTAAAATACAGCATACATTTTCAAGAGCTGCTCTAAATTGAAGAATTTCCTATTGTGATGGAGATTGAAAGTATACTCTTTAAGTTGAATCCAATCAAGATATATATTTGATTAGTATTTATTATTAAGTAAATTCCAAATTACATTAGTTCAACATATTATATACTATTTCGCTCTTTCACTTTTTGTATCCAATATATATATATAAATTAAGTCAGTTACTACTTACGTCAACAATTTTTTTTATTTTAGTTCTTTTTATCAGATAGTTGCAATTAATATAAATATGTATATAAATATGACAGAATCTCACTATTAAGTGACAAAATAGAAAGCGATTTTCTTTGCAATTTTCTATTTTCCTTTGTATATAGGGTGTTGGATTTTTTTGGTTTGTTACTATTTATTCATGAATTAAATTTAAGTATTCTAATAAGATAGTATACTAAAAAAGAAATCACATCTTCAGAAATTAGGCCATCCCAGATGGGATTCGAACCCATGACCTTTGGGTTAGTAGTCCAACGCGTTTTCCATTGCGCTACATAGACGCAAGGAGCAATTTTCCTTTTTAAAAACTGGTGTTGTACTAGTATTTTGTTTGTTACTAACTATTCATTCATTAAATATAATTATCTCAATAAAATAGTATAGTAAAAAGAAATGACATTCTTTGACATTAGGCCATACCAGGTGGGATTCAAACCCACGAACTTTGGACCAGAAGTTCAACGCGTTATCCATTGCGCTACAGGGACACATCAACCGATTTTCCTCTCCATATATGCTGTTAAACTATTATTTTTGTTTGTTTATATTTATTCCTTTTTTAAATTTAATTAATGAATTAGTATTTGAAAAAAACTGTATTAACATCAAGTGTCATCCACTACAAGCGTAAAAAATTGTTTTTGAACTTGAGTGGATGAGTAAAATTATTTTACAAACGACCGAAAATTTGATATATATATATATATATATATAGGGAGCTATAATGTATATAGGGGAGAGTGAACTAATAATAGGAATTGAAAAAACGAAATCAGTAATGTTTGTTATATCATCACAGTGAGACAAAATCGGCAATATAGCGGTGGTATAGGCGATACCAATTACCGCAAGTAATTTTGACGATCTGAACTTTATTCTAGGAATTTAATTTTGCCAAGGGCACCCAAGCAAAACAGGCACTCAAGTGTTTTTTTACATGACGCATAATCATACAACATTTACGCTGTCGATTTTCTGAAGCATGAAAATCGAGATGAAAAAATTACTACTTGTTTGTATACATACTATAACAAAAAAAACCGTTGCACCAAGTATGAGTTGTCCAATAGAAACAAAAATTGGTGGGTAGAAAAATTATGTACAGAATAGAAATTTATTAAAATTTCAGAAAAATTGAATCACTTATTTCAGAGTTACATAGTTACAAAGTAACAAGCTCAATAAGGTGTTGACCCTCCTCCAGCCTGGATACAAGCTTCCACACGACACGGCATCGTGTGATAAAGCACCTTGATGGTATCCTGCGGTATTTCTGGCCAAATTTGTTACAATTGTCTGCAGGTTATCAACATTCCCCCTGTAGACGCAGTCTTCTTCCCTTCATATCCCAGACATACTCGATTGGAGAGATATTTGGCGATCAGATTGGCCAAAGAAGTGCTTGGCAAGCTGTAAGATAGTTCATAGTAACACCTTCCGTATGTAGTCTGGCATGAACTTGCTGAAAATAAGGCCGGAAGCAAAAAAAGTTCTCAGAATGTCATCGACGTACCGCTGTGCTGCAAATGTGCCTCTAATGACGAAAAAAGGAGTCCGTCTGTCTAATGAAATAGCACCCCAGAACATAACTCCTGGTTGAGGGCCTGTGGGGCGTGCAATAGTGAAAGAAGGATCAGCACGCTGCTCTAGGCATCTCCAGACACATCTTCGATGATCGTCAGGACACAGTTGGAAGCGTGATTCGTCTCTTAACACTATGCATCCCCAGTCAGCATGATTCTTCTTACCTGATCGAGTCAAGCACCACTGTAATCTGGCTCGACAGTGTGCAGGCGTGTGTAGCAGGTGGCGTAGGGGTCGGTACTAGTGTAAATTTCGCTCTATCAGCCGTCTGTGAATGGTCATGGTGGACACTCGCTTACGGGTCGCAAGTCTGATGGTTGATTACGATGAATCCTTCGCTGTGACAGCTGATCTAACAATCAATCCATCCTCCCGATCTGCTGTGGCCCTAGGTTGACCGCTGCTATCATGACGCTGAAATCTGCCATTGTCTACCCATTCTTGCCAGCATCTTAGCCAGCCGCATCGCTTCGACCCATATGACGGGCGATTCTCCGATTTGCCCAACCTGCCTCTTTCTGTCCAATGATACGACCTCTTTCAAATTCTGATGTTTGCTTGTAATGAGCTAGAATCCTGCGGTGAGGCATTTTTTTCAGTCATTGAAAGGTATCCTAAATCGCAATGCAACAGAAATTTGACCATCAGACTGAGAATAGCTTCGTATAGACTTATAGACACCTGCTGAGTGCGCAGTTTCGATGCGCTGTAGCTCAGGCTATTCATTTTCATTGGACACCAAACTTTAATCAGTCGTATGTTCAGTATACATGTTTTTGCATACGAAATTTTATTACAATCGGGTATTTCCTTTTTGTTACGTCGTGTTTTTTCTTCCGTTATAGAGTATATAATAAATTATGAAATATAGCACGCTTATATACTTTACATTAATATATCCAAAAATGCACATCCATATTTCACTAGCTCGTTCAACCCATTTTATTTTTAGCTATTATATTTTTTAGGAAATATCTGGAGGATTTTTTTCTATTTAAATATCTTAATTTCTATTCTGAGAATAAAGGTTAATTCTTATTTTGTTCTTTACTTCTCGATTTAAAACACCTGCCGGTCTGTGATACGGAATCCGAAAATCTAATTAAATAGAAATTTTCTCATTAACTACTTCAGGGTAAGAATATGGAATGCAATGATGTAGATTACGTTAAAATGGCGCAGTTTAATTTTATCCATGAAGACAAAAAAGTTATTATCCTCTTTATCAGAAAAGAGAAAAAAAAAGATTTGAATCAAAATAGCTAAAAAATGCGTTTCAATATTAAGACGAGGAAGCAAAAAATTTCAGCGTAATAAATATATTTTTCCCAAAAAACTCATTAATTATTTGTTAAATATTTAATCATATCCAGTAATTAATTTGTTGCAACTATTTGCCACTAATTACATACGTTACCGTTAAAGTGTGAAATCCGTTATTTCATAGAATAAATTGGTATTTCATGAAATAACTAGACAAGCCAGTTAAAGTGTATAAAATTATTTAATTCTACGATTTTTAACTAGGTATTCTGCAGAATAACGATTATTTCATCCTTAAAGTATGAAATATTGCATTCGAACAGGTTCTAGTTGCTCTGGGAATGATATTTCCGATTAGAAACTAGAGATGGACAAATAAAACAATTGTACTCTAGATATCATTTTAATATGCCAACAAGAATTAATTTCCATTGAAGAAGTTCCAAATATTGACACATCACTTCGATCTGTTGCAACAGCTCAAAGTTGCTGTACTGGACAAGGATTTAGAAAGTCAGCGTGTAAAAAAAATGTGTAATGGTAAAAAGTGGGCTTGTTTCAAAAATAACAAACAGTCCAATCCAAAGTGTCATCACGGCAATCCTTGCTCTATAAATAATAACAAGTAAAATAAAGGCATCTCATAAGATTTAAATTAATATTCTCTTATATTTTTGTTTTAAAAAGTTTACACAATGTTTTTCTTGAAGCAACGATTTTGCTTCACTGCATGTTTTTTTTTGTTGATAAAGTTAAATATAATCTATTTTTGCAACATATTCTTTTTTCCCCTTTTTGTTTAGCTAATTTTAGCGGTATGAGCAATAATTAATTATATTATATGCTTATCCTTATTATTTATCAATTATTCATCCGCAAAAGAGATAAAATGTATTTTTTCGAGCGATTTTAGCTATTTATGATCAATTAACTTATAAAATATCTTTGAAATTGTTTATATTTCCCTTTACCGATCTTCGATCGAAACCACTTCGCGCGGTCCCCTGGTTTCCTGTTGCACATTTCCGTCCTTTTTCACGAAATCACTCCCACAAATATCTTGCAATATTAATCTCAATTTTCCATGAAGCAGGAGTACAAGTTTTCTTTTCTTTTGTTCGAGGACATACGGGAACCTTTGGCAATGAACGTGCTGACTGGCTTGCAAAAGAAGCAACGAGCATTCCAAAATCATATCATAAGAAAGTTTTTAAAGAAAAGATTATTTCCGAGTGGAATAACTTGTATCAAATTTCAAATAATGCGCATCTCACCAAGGAATGTATTCCTTCTTTTCAGAGCCGTTTAAAGACTAAGCACTTTCAAGCTAATTTTAAACTTACCCAGTTTTCAACTGGGCATGTAAACCTTAAAGCTTATTTAAAGCGCTTCAATTTGTCGACTACTGACCAGTGTTCTTGCTCCAGTGACACAATCCAGAATGCCAAGTATCTGATTCTTGCTTTTACTAAATTCTCTTCGGACAGACGTACACTCATGAATTGCTTACAAAAGAACAATATAGTGTGGCCTCCTCCTTTGTCTGCCTTTGTTGAAGGAAAATCATCTTTTACATCGTATTGTGCATACATTAATAGAATTTTTTCCTGTATTATTTAGATTATAAATTTTGTGTGTTTGTTAACATTTTCTGTACGTGAATATACATGTGTATGTGTGTGTGTGTATGTGTATATATATATATATATATATATATATACACTAAGAAATAATAGATGTTAGCATAATAAAAATATAAAACCTGCATGAAAATTAAAGAGGACGAGACGGTTTTTTAGGACAATATAACTTTGTACAAAAGCTTTCCAAAACTCAACACATTTAATACCGTAAAATCCCCAATACGTAAGGACATTCAAGAAATAATAACAAAATTTCTTTACTCACAGAGCTAAGCAACACTTACTAAAAGAAAATCAGAGGGATAAAAAAAAGCTTGATTGAAAAAGTAGCATGGAGCGCAATGCGACTGGCCGAAATATCCCTGTGATGGGTGTCCAGCAAGAAACATCCGGTCTTTAGTAGGGGATATGATCTCCCCTGACTGCTAGGCAGGTTTCACAGCGTCTGCCCATGCTGAGAATGAGGGTGTCAATGAGTTGTTGATGCATTGCTGCCCATTCGTCTTGCAGCGCCAATCAAAGCTCCCGAATCGTTACTGGTGGTAAGGTACGAGCTGCCAAGCGTCTGCCTAGAAAATCCCATACATGCTCGATGGGATTGCCGGCCAATCCATACGTTCAATATCCTCACTCTCTAATAGCTGTTCGGCAGCTACTGTGCGATGACATGGTGCATTGTCGTCCATGAAAAGGAACTGCAGATGTGTATGTCTGTATGTATGTATACTTTATGTATTTGTATTTTGAAAATTTTTTGTGATCATGTTTTCTTATCTTCCTCATTGTATAATTTTAATTATTGATTTTATCCCTTTGCATGTGAGTAATCTTGTATTTAATTCTGTATTTGTTGTATTTGTATCCACTTTTTCTCTCATTTTTCCTCTCTTTTAGTTTCCATTTGTGCCTATATCCTTCTACATGTAACTTCCATTGTTTTGAGTATTAACTTACATTTGTAAGCCTTGTGTTGTACTTGTCGGTACACAAGGAATCTA